GAAGGAAAACCCCATCCATCCGTCCATGTAGCCGTCCCTTTCTACTGCTTACTAGGGTCTTGTTCACTGGAGCAACACAGGTGCCCAGAATTTTCTCCCTGGGCAACTCTTCCAGCTGTCTTGGGGACACCAAGGCAGTCCCGGTCTAGCCAAGAGATGTGATCTCTGCAATGTGTCCTGGGCCAGCTGTGGGGCTTGTGTCAGAAAGATCTCACTTAAGAGGTTCTGGGAGGGATCCTGGTCATCCTGGTCACTGCCCACAGTTAATGAATGTAGGAATGTAGATCGACTGGGAAATCAACAGCTTTGCTTTCACATTAGGCTCTCTTGTCACCACAGCTGACTGGTGCAGTGTGCTCATCATTGCAGATGATTTTTACTTTTACTTTTAATGCATGTGCTGAGAGTTATTATTTTAGCATAAAGGGAATTTACTTTCCTTAAGTGGCAGGTAATTTCAAATGCAGCGTTTCTATCAGCTTAACAAACATCAGCAAACACACAAACTGTGTGACAAACTGTGTGCAGTTTGTCACACAGTTTGTTGCTAAAGGTCCAGCTGCTGTATTTCACAGGGAGAGAGAGAAAGAGAGCTAACTTCACTCAGGGATGGAGAAAGATAAGAAAGACAGAATAGGAGAGGAAGAAGAGGTTAGATTAAAGGTAAGGACTGCTCAGTGGTGTTAAACTGTAAATGTAAAGCTTACATGTAAGTCCTCATGTTTTTAAATCAGATATTGGATCCATACATGTAACTTTTTTTTTTTTTTGTGAAACATGCTGCAAAACAAACGGAGGCAGACTAACTTCTATTTAAAAGCTGCATGAAAATACTGTGCAGTGTAGTGCAGGATAAACAAGTTAGTTCAGCATCTACTGATATTATTTTATTGTTACAGTTGCGCTCATAAGGTTACATACCCTGGCAGATTTTATGATTTTTTTTTAACCATTTTTCAGAGAATGTGAATGATATGAAAAAACAGTTTCTTTCACTCATGCATTTGGGCCAGAGTCTTCCCCGTGTCTGCCGTGCCCCAATCCCGGGTTTCGGCACCACTGTAAACGATCCATGATAGCATCGACCACATCCCAACACTTTTCAGCATACACTTTTATTTCTGGTTGTCGTCTTAACACACACACACGCAGACGCTGCTTTTCAGCGCCATCCTGCACAACGATGGCGACAGGTCGGCGAGACGTGATTGTGGATGCCGCTCAGGTGCGCCCGCCTCCCCAGCAGCCGCGCTGCAGACCACGCCCCGCCACAGTACTATCTCTTGTCCCCTTAGCTCCTAGCCTACTCGCTAGCAGCAATCAAATCAGGAGTGACATGTTTAGCCGCATGTTCTCCTTAAATTGCTGTCTGTCTGAATAGTATCCAAAAAAACAATGGGCAGCTTTACTGACTGAGAAGATAAAGAGTCTCATTTAGCTGTTACTGATGTTAAAGGGGCCGTACACTCAGATCAGGGTGATTGGGGTAGTTTGTGTTGAGATTATGATTTAAAAAGAGTAAACACAATTGTTTGACAATAAATGTGTTCAGCCTTCCAGAAACCATGAATGAAAGTAAAGTTTTTGTGCTATCGTTCATATTCTCTGAAAAATGGTTAAGAAATCATAAATTCTTCCGGGGTATATCAACTTATGAGAGCAACTGTATGTTAATATAGCACAGCCTTCAGTTAGCTTTACACAAATATAGAAACATCTTTTCTCAACACCATGAGGATGAAGAACCCTTATAAAGGACTGTTTTTGAAAGCTAGGCAATAATGATCGTCATATTTCACCAGCCACCACATATTTCTCTGTTTTTTAATGACCAAATCAGGTCAGAGGAGACTATATTTCTTAACCTGAACCAAGGCTTCTCATCCCAGTTGTTAAAAAGGT